TACTGCTACTACCACTACTAGTGCTACTACAGCTGCTGCTGCTGCTGCTGCTGCTACTACTACTACTACTACTAATGATAATGACTACTACTAAGTATAAATACTACGACGACTACTACTACGGCTACGACGATGACTACTACTACCGATCATAGTAATAATCATCATCATAATTACTACTAATAGTAATAAATACGACGACGACGACGACTGCTACTTCAGTGGAGCGAAGTGCAGCAGGCCAGCTTTGCAAACTATAGCATACCAGAATAAATTTACTATCATCTATGCGTTTAATTCTAATGGCACGTACGATAATACAAACCAGTCCTTACAGTAGCCTTCAGGCTTCCACTCTGTTCCCTAGGTCAGGGACCGCAAAAATCTCATGGGCGCTACATTCCTGTTTACACCTGGTCGATGCGTACATTCCTAAACCCTAAACTGTTGTGGTTCTTGGAGGCCCCAAAGCCTCAAGGCACTTAACGGCTTAACGTACGTGCCTCGTTTCGTTGTGATGGACCCTCCGGGGCGCAAGCAAGGGTGGACAGCAGCGGCGGAGGATGTCCTTCGGGAACCGCCTGACGCATTTTGTCAGAGCTTCAGGGGAGTTACTGCAGTGGCGAATTGGCATATCGTGGGCTTCCTTGCAAAGCTTGCAACTTGCAAATCCCAGCACTCACGAGGTTGAAAGTGCATGCGCCGATTGTTTCGAGCAGCGGCTAGCCGCCTCTCAACCCTTTCGGAATCCCGACCCTCAGCCTGCAGCAAAGCTTCCACCGAGTTCTCGTCCGCCTCACAAGTTGACAAAAGCTGCATAGCAGGGACATGAAGTGTCATCCAAACGCAGGGCTTTTTCAAGCCAGTCGTGTAAAGAAGGCAAGCCGGACTTTCAGCCCAAAAATCACCAGGGAACCAACCTGTGCCCTCATGGGCCCAGTTGGTGCGAACCTTCTGTGGCCGAAAATTCCCACCACGTCTATTCCATTCCTCTGAATATCAAACCGGCGGGGCCCCCAAATGTGCTATTGTTCCTATGGTGAGCTTGTCAATCTCTACTGTCGCAATTCAAAATCGGTTTTTACAAGGCGGTGATGATTCGAGGACGCTTTTCCAGAAAGTGTGCTGGTTAAGACAAAAAGCATAAAACCTGCCCGGGGGGGTAAGCTCCTCGAAGTTATGTTGCTCATCCATCCGCGAAGCGTTCCTAGCTCGGGGCCCTCCCTCTCTGTTTGAGCAAAAGCTGCCATGAATTCGGTCCTTGGGATCTTCGGAAGTTTGGGTTTGGAGTCCGATATCAAAGAAGAATCCCGGAGCTCTCCCAAAGAAGTCACCCCGGGCCCTTCTGTGTCCTACGAGACCAAGATCGCCTGCAGCGTGCGCAGTGCCAATGCCGGGAGGAGGATGCGCCACATGGCTGCGTGCCAGTCAGCCCGGAGTAGGGCGAGCCTAGCTCCTACCTCGTTCCTGGAGCCGACTAGCCAGGCACTTCCGCACTGCATCTTTGTAAGAAACACCTGGTGAAACCCGAGCCCCTCTTTTCAGTCCCCCTCACCTAGTGAGACGACCTTCCCTGCATATCGTAAGACCCAAGAAGACAGTTGCAGGGTACTGCACTTCGGGGTCCTTGTTGGACGTCACCAGCTTGATGGAAGAGTGACTGGGCACGGGCACAGCTGGGGGGGGGGGGGGGGGGGGGNNAGGGGGCAGGGGCTTCATGGGCGGATGAGTCGAAACCTCGGGTTTCCGAGAAGTTCGGCAAAGGAAAGGCCGTGGGTGAGGCGTAGACCGTGCAAGTTCAAGTTCAGATCAAAGGACAAACTTTGATAGCATGTGATAGCGTCCTTTTTGATGTTTCCCCCGTTGTGCTTCCGACTATAAGAGCCTACTCAAGGTCAATGAGTCACAGAACGACAGCAGACAGCCACAAGGAAACATGTCTTTACTCGCAGAGCCCCTAACAGAGTCCATAGGCATAAGGGTTCTAGAAGGGCTCGGAGGGTTTTTATACCGATTCTTGAAGTGGTTTTCACTGTTTCTATAAGTACCATGGCGCCCTTGCACCAGCAGCTTCAGTAGTGTTGTGCGAGAATGTGCCCCGCACGCATACAAACACGAGCAAAACTATTCCAAAGCTTATGTAGGGCCCTTCAAGAACTGTGCACTTAGAGAACCTATGTCGCGAAAGCCACCCCTACCAGGGCGAGAAAGCAGGTACCTCCAATCGTGACATACCCAGGCTTCCTGAGCTCCCCGCTCCTGGCATCTCTTGGAGCAAAGCTCGATCAGCTC